ATTCTTTAATTTCCTAAATGTTTTTAATATTAATCTTATATTTGGATCAAATTTATATTACAAGCTCTGTGAGGACCCACATATTCATTCTAATTCGTTCTTTCTTTTTCTCACATCACAAGATATTTAGCAGTCTTACACTGAGAGGATCTTTCCAGTGTAGGCTTAGGACAACAAATTGAATTCATTTCTGCAATATGTCTATGATGGATATAGCACAAACAAAGCTAATACTAACAAAAACAAACAAACAATCTTATTAGGAATTTTATCAGTTCTACTTGATGTTAAACTTTGACTGAAGAATATATATATCTTGCAAAGTGTAGAATCATTACAAACGGACATTTAATAGATCACTGAAAAAGATCTGAAAGATGAGAATGCAAACTAAGAAATAAGATTCTACATAAATTAACTATCTTATGAGAAAGGGAGATGATATCTATTTTAAAGGTGAGAAGTCTTTTAATTGAAGGAAGCCAATAATTTTCATGACTTTCAAAGTAAGCAACATTATCAAATGTTTACATTTCTACAATAAAATTCACACAGTGTACAAAACTGTAAGGTAAATATTTGTAGTTGTAAATATAGAATAAGACAATTTATCTGGATAATCTAAATGGATGTAAGAATTTCACAGACACACACTTAATATATTGAATTACATTGGGATGATTAAAATATGTTATCTTCTAATTTTATCATGAAGTATATATTATTTTGACAAGAAGGCATTTTTATTTGTATATAAATGCACAAGCCAGATTTCAGAGTTTTACAAATTTTGTTTTGACTAAATGGTTATTTCTTAAAAACTAAAAAATTATATTCAGAATTTGATGCATAAATTGCTGAAAGATGGTGAAAATTTAGTTCACTAGATTAATGATAAATAATTTATAGAAAAATTAAAGGATATGCATTACATTTCAGATATCAAAGCATATACACATGGAAATCATATTATTTACAAAAACTATGGTGTAAAGACACTGGCGGTGTTTCCGTGGTATTTCTTCTTCATTGACTTTTATTTTAAATGAGTGAGGTCAGAGTTTGGTTATACTCTGTGTCAAGAAAAGTGAGAACTGGGGTCAGAGAGAACTGAATTTTCACCGGGCGCTGACACTTTCCGGCTCAGGATTTTAAGCCAGCCAGTTCACCTTTGAAAGCGCTCCTTGCCTCGTTTCTATCCTAGGCTTGTGCCTTGTTCTTGGGATTGCCGTGCGGATAGAATGACACCCTGTGTGTGAAATGCAGAACTGGCCGTGGAGCGCAGTACAAACACAGCAAATGTGCGACGCAGCTCTGGCTGTTGCTATGTCACCTTATGTCACAGATCTCAAGCCTGCTTTCCACATGCAACGGATCTGCCACAGTTGGGCAGATGCTTTTGCTAAATTTGTTTAATGAGTTGTTGAAATATATATTTCAAGAAGCGCATTTAAAAGTTGCTGTGTGGTAACCTGCAGATTAGTTTCAAGCCTTCTGTTCCATTTCACTTACATATTTTATTGCAGATAATGTGCTTTTTACAGATATTCCTAATTTCTGTGGAGATCATACCATGTTCTGGTTAGTATGCATGCACATATTGTTTAAGGAAAGGGATATACATTTCTGAGAAGTGCATTGTTAAGTAAGAGTATCATTGCTAGAAGACAGAGGAGTGTATTTAAACTAAGACCACCACAACATCACTGGGAAACAATCTTATGAATCATACCATCACAATATATCCCATAATATGTACTATAAAATTCAATCATAGTATTTATTGTGTTCATGTACCTAGGACATTTTGATACAAAATAGGGTCTGAGTAATTATTTTTAAAATATATACTCATAAGTGAGTTAATTAGCGAAAATCCAGAGTGAAAGCATAAATTTGAAAATGCAAGAAATGGAGATTTTATCAGCAAGTACATGGGGTTGTTTGAGTAGAAAACCAAGTAGACTACCTCAAATTTAGACAGCTGTAACTGAGAGACATCGTACGTTAACAATCTGAATCGCGTGTTGCTACCAATGTTGTTTTTCCAAAGCCCAATGTGTCTAAAGATTTATAAAGAGAAGATATCTCACAATGATGTGTCCATGTCATTCTTTTCAAGAAGGCTGGGAATTGTGGAACGGTCTAAGTGAAGCTGGAAGGACATTTTTGCTGTGATATGACTCAATCTGTCCAGTTAAATTCTGTCCAAGAACAGTTCTGAAGTCTTTCCCCACAGGACCCAGGACTTGAATGCTCACGTGTGTGTGGGAATGTCCTTTTCAGACCACAGCAGAACCTGTAGAGGTGGGCAGTCTCCTCTCCCCATTGGTCAGGTGCTGTGTGCTCTATGCATCCCCAGAACTCAAGGCTCCCGTGTCCCCTGCTATCATTTTTTAAATAAATGCAAAGACCACACAGAAAAATGTCCTGTGTTCCACTGACCTTCAGGAAGCCTGGTTAGTATGCATGCACATATTGTTTAAGGAAAGGGATAAACAAATTTAGCAACTTCCTCAGCTGAGAACAGGCCAGCACACAGATCTGGGGCCACCTTGCATTTGTGCCTTTACCTGTACCCACTTCCTCCCTGCTGACCTGGGCACGGACCAGCTCTCAGAGTTCCCTACCAACTCCACTTGTTTCTCTCTCCTCTCTCTTCCTGAGCGTTCTTGTGGGTTCTCCATTTCAGCTCAATCACAACAAGCTAGTTTCCCACTTTTTCTGCCTCCACACAGTGTGACTTGTTTTGCTTTGAGAGTAGGAAGTGGGTCTCTTTCAGGACTTCTCTGTGTGTCTTTCCTGAGAAAATAATCAGCCAATGATGCTCTTTCTTCTGCAACCAACCAACAAATCAAAGAGAAACAAAATATGTTACCATGGCATTTTCCTGTTTCTTTCACTTAAAACATATTCACTTAAATAATACTTTACATGTGTTAGTAATCTGTCTAGGTTTTACTTCTTCTGAAGACAGAAATCAAACTCTGTGTTTTATTTGTAGGTAGGCATTTATTTATTTATTTATTTATTTATTTATTTATTTATTTTTTGAAGAAAGAAGGAAGAAGTGCAATGAAGTCACTAAGTTGCTTTCAGTGAATGGGAAAGCCTTGGGAGACAGGTGTACAGAAGGTACCTGAAACTGAAGGAGCACGGGTAAGCAGCCTGCGAATCCTTCAACCTCAAAGTTACAGTTTTCTTTCATTTGTGATTCTGCAAGAACCAATAAGCACACTCTGTTCAGAGTGACATAATTAAATAAAAGGCTGCTATACTTGTTAGTACAGGGTGAGAGAAATCATATGGACAATCTCAATCTTCATTTGAAGAATTACGTTTGCCAGTGAGTTTCAAATACACTGTGCTTTCTTGCTCTGCACCTGTATAGCCTCCAGTACTTCTGAGAGAAGACACATCCTCTTTTTACTATGACTATTTTCCCTCCCTTAATACTTCAGTAAAAAGGAACTTTTCTATGTGGGATGAAATTTAAACTCTCAAAATGTCCACTGTGCCTGAAGTTTCTTAATTTCTGAAGTGCTCATTACAAGCTAAAAGAATCCTCGCTACTGACAGTAACATAGACGGCTGTGAAAACGGGGAGCTGTATGTGGAGGAAACATTTGGGGGAGTGATATGAAGACGAACACATCAAGCACTTATTTTACTCATGCTGTCATTCTAGAGCAAATCAGTGATACCCATCACCACTGCATTTAGGCACCTAACAAAATGACAAACAAGAAAAGCCTCACAGAATATGACTTTTATGCTTTCTTACATAGAATCAAGTTCACTGTGAAAGTGGAATAACAGGAATCCCATCATGTGTGCTGGAAGAGTGAAAAACTTGACTTATAAACAATTAGAATGCAACTTAAAATAAGCCTATCTGCAAGTTGCTTATTTACATGCCTAATTTTAATAGATTTAGGTGACCTGAGTACAGAAAAAGACAAATTTCCAATTTTAGAGCTTTGATGAGTCAAATTCTGAGTTAATAACAATAAAAACCATCTACTCTTACTGCTGCTGCAGTGTTTATAGAATCTCTTTCTACCATCTTTTTACTCCTGGGCATTTCTCTCACTTCGAGAAGCATAAGTGTTTGTCTAGTCCCCTTCACTACCTCATGATATTGAGAGAATTGCATTTGAAATTCATTTAGTTTTATTTAAGTATTTACTTGTAATGGATTTTATTCTGCAAAAATCATTTTCCTTTTTGGAAAATGGCTGTAATTTCCAGTTATTGGTCAGAATTATTTATGGTTATTTCTTAAGAACTTGTTATACTGTATGTTAAAATTTCATCTATAATCTATGCGGTGTGACTTTTTTTGTTGTTGTTGTTTTTGTTTTTGTTTTTTGGTTTTTCTCCGGTACCGGGAACCGAACTCACAACCTTGCGTTTGCCAGGCAGGCGCTTTTGCCACTGAGCTAAATCCCCAGCCCCTGCGGTGTGACTTTTAATTGCATTTGTTTTATATTTTTGAAGGTCCTTGGAAAGAAAGGATTAGAGAGGCTGTGTTTAATCTACTTGAGTGCATTTCATAGTCAAGGATGAAATGTCTCCTTCAATCTAACACAGGCTAGTTAGGTTCATTGATAGAATTCCTATTGGGACAGTCCGTTATCACCATAGCTTTCTTTCCCTCTCTTACAGGCCTGTCTATTTCTTGACCTTTGCCATCTCTGTAACCACCTCTGGCTTTGATTTTCTTTGAAGTGTTGGTTAGATTTTACTTCATCTGTGATACTTTCCCTGATCATCATGTTCAGCATCTCATCAGCTCTTTGGTCATTAAGGAAACACCTCTGTGTTTCTTGGACATAGTCATTGGGCTTTTGCTTTTGAGTTTGTGACAGGTGAACTTCATTATTTTGTAAAGTCCTCTAAGATTATGAAGTTTCATGTCATAACTGGCCAGAGAATATGGTAGTTACGGAGATTAAAACCCAAAACTTTCCACTTACTGATTCATACCTTAATTTTTTTCCTCCAAAAATGGGCAATAATTTGTCTTTGATGGTGTCATCATATTTCTTTAAAGGGATTAAGCTTGATTTTGAGGATTCCATATTGAATATAGATGCATGTTTTATAAACTTCAGCTTAAAGGGCTTGTCTCATATCCTAAAAAATACATATATTGACATGGAGAAGTTTTAAAGTATTTTATAAGACACATAAACAGAAACCTAATCATGTGTTTTAAATCATAAATTAGTTAATGTAGCTGATTTTGAAGCAGGACATACCTGAAGCTTTCCAAATTGTCATTGAGAGTTGACAAAAGTTAAACCTAGCAAATATTAGCTAACCAAAGATCATATACACAAAGCAACATTTAGGTTTCCATCTTTAAATTTGTTACTTTTCTTCTCAGTAGCATTTTTATATAAATGCAAATTTTTCTTTAAATTTGAACTCCTAAAACTATATGTGTAAATTAATTTATTTTTCAAAGGCTAAAACCAGAGATAAAGCACTGTTTCTAGAGAAAAGATAAAGATCATACATTTAGACTTAAGTTAGAAACTTTCTGTGTATAAAATGTATAGACAAAATATTTAAAAATGGGAAAACTTTGCTATACCTGGTTTCATTTTTGATGCAAAAAAGGGAGTAAATACAGAAAAAAAGAAAACAAGAAAACAGTTGCTCACTCAGTTTCTAAGTGATTTTATATTTTTAAATATGTCAACAGAGGTGTCTAAAATTCTTAAAATGCGATTTTTAATTCTTCATGTTAGTAGCATAATATTACTTGAAAAAATATTACCCATTTAAATTATGTGACATACTTGGGAAATATTAGTGTCCAGATTCTTCTTGAATGTTTTCCTTAGGAAATTCCTTCTTGGCATTATGAATCTAAAGTAAAAATCAATTCTTAGATCAGGAAAGAGAATAAAATATAATATTCCTGAGGAAGATAAACTAGGACCACAGATACAGGGATGGTACGGGGTTCAAATGTGTCCGCCTAAGAGAAGTGGAAATTAAGGGCGGGGCGGAGTGGGGGATGCTGATCCGGAGTCAGAGGTGGAGCCCACATCTCCATTTCCAAGAGCAGGAGGGTGAGAGTCAGTCCTGAGCTCTGCTCAGCCAGCCTTGCGGTCTGGCTGCTGTGTCACCGCTGTGCTTTGGGCTTCTAATCGTGAACCGTCTTGGAAAATGTAGTATAGGTGTTAATTCATTTTAGGTACAGTACGTTTCACACAGATCAGAGGAAAGCTGTCTTAGTTACCGTCTTTGTTGCTCGGACACGGCACCAAACACCCGGTTCTTGAAGGGACAGACGTGTACTTTGGCTCACATTGAGAAGTTTCGGTCCTGCACGGTGGGCAGCGTGGTGGCCGCGCCCTGAGACTGAAGGGAGGAAGCAGGGAGGAAATCCCACCCTTCCAGGCCAGGCACGCCGTCCTCCTCCTCCAATCAGATCTCATCTCCTAACGTCACATTTAGATCGAACGCCCCCATAACCCTCGCACCTTTCAGAAGCACCACCTTTGAGCACATGGCGTTTTGGGGGACATCCAAATAGAAACAGTAACTGAGGCTATTCCAAGATTCAAGTTTTACAAGCAAAATCAATCTTTAAATTACCTTTCTGACACACAAATCTGGCTAGTGCCTTATTAACTGACTACTAGCCAACAATGTTCTATGACGTTTTTCAGCGTTGGAATATTTGCTATAGGTTATAATTCTTTCCATTTTAATAATACCAAAAGTTATGATTTCAGGAATTCCCAGTATGCCTTAGAACAGGAAATTTCGTGTTTCTGAGCCCCACAGACTGATATTCGTCATGAAATTTGGCTAACACTACTACTGCAAGCATTTATCAGTTCCCAGCACTGATTCTATTATATGTTTGGAGCTTTAATCAAGAGTGTTAGTTTGGGGCAAAGTGTATCTTTCCAGCACTTGCTGAGCTCTACTGTGCTGACATCCCAGGCAGTGTAAAATGAAGTCATAATTTTGTAAATGTGAAGATAAATAGTAGATGCTCAGACTATCAATTCAATTTACTAAGACAATTACTAAGTGAGTATTCCTCTATCTGCAAAACCTTAACGGAGAGTCACAGGTAGTCAAGGAAATCTCCCTTGTCTGAAGAGTTTGTGACGTCCTGGAGGAGACAAAGCCATAAGTAACCCAAGTTTTCAGTAAATAATCTGCTTAGGACTGTGGTGCGCATTGCATAGTTCAGAATGAAGAACGAACTTTGAACATCTAGAATTGGCTCAAGCTCCTAATCAGTGTTAAGGTGGGCCCTGTTCCTTTAGGGATTTCTTATGACCATTTTATTCTTATTCTCTATATTTTATAAATAGTAATAATAGCAACATACTCCCCCATGTTGAATAACTAGTTTGAACCAGCTACGTTTAAGTGGTGTATGTTTATTGTTGCTTCTTATAAGACAAAACCGCCAAATAGCTGTTATTATCCTCAGGTGAGGACCCTGAGTCGGAGAAGTCAAATTTAGTGAGTAATGTAAACCTACAAAGCTCTCAGAAAGGAAGGAGGGGTCAGCCATTCCTGATGGCCTCTGAGGCTGACCCAGTAGGATGTGAGATCAGGGGTCCCGACTGCAAACACAACATGTGAAGCATTACATGGGGCTGATATGTTTACACCCAGGTCGTTCTGTGGGGCTTCTCTTTGGCCTACTCTTGTCTTGGTTATTTCATTTCTGGGAGTCTTGTTTTCCTAATCTGTACAGTGGTGGTAACTGGAGAAAACAAATTAATACTCTTGTAACTCAACAGAAATAAAGACAGAACCTACAGTGTGTGGAGTGTTTTAAGTCATCTTGCATGGATAGATGAGAAAGCACATGAAAAGGTACTCACGAAGCACTACACAAATCCCTGGATGTCACGGACAAAACAAACCTAAGGAAACTTTAAAAGGTGTGGAGCAGGCAGACTGGTTGCAAACATCAGGACCTCAGGAATGACAAGATGGATTTTTCCTTGAATATTTTTGTACTTCCTATCACTGAGGTAGAGGTGAGGAAGCTGGTGGCTCAGATGTGCGGGAGCACAAACAAACAACAACAGCAACAACCGAAACAACACACATCTTTCCCACAGATGCCGTCTCCCCAAGGGTTGCTGGCTTGACTCCTTAAAAAATGCTGCACAATGAAATGAATCATTTAGATCATGCTTGCTCTACTCTTGCCAAACAGCACAGAAAAAGTGGAAAAAAATATATGGCTCTATCACTGTTGGTGCTGGCAACAGAGAATCCAATTCTCTCTCTCTCTCTCTCTCTCTCTGTGCATATATGTGTATATATAATGATGTATTTTAATATACATGAGGAAAATGAGAGGTGTAAGATGACAATCAAATTAGTTTGATTTCCCAGAAGTTTATTAAGGAATGGCTCAAGAACAGAATACACAATAAAACCAAATGTTACTTGCTGGTTTCAGAATCAGTGGTAAAATTTCCAGGTAGACGATCACTTATGAACTTCTGAGTGTCATTTTGATTTAGTGATATGATTGCAAATCATATTACAATAGCAGTGGAAACAAAGAGTTTGGAAATAAGCAAGGAAAAGGGAGGAGGAGTGACAGTTTTTAGAGCTAGAAGCATAAAATAGAAGCTTAAAGAGTACAGTGGGTAGGAGAGGTGATATAAGAAAATTTAATTTTAAATTAGGAGATAGGATATTCCTAGAAGAAAGAGAGACAGGATTGGGGGCTAGAATAATGACTCTGCCAGCATATTTATAAGACATACCATTTTTATTTTTATTTTATATATTTTGGTTTATTTGAGAGAACATCTTGCTATATAGTGCAGGCCAGCCTTGAACTCACTATGTAGCCCAGGCCGGCCTCAAACTCATGGCAATCCTCCTGCCTTAGCTTCCAATGTGCTGGAATTATAGGGGTAAACCGCCATGCCCAGGAAAACACACCACGTTTTGATGATAGTTCTGAAAATGATTTTTCCTGGGCAGTAGATTTGAATGTGAGCACCAGTACTCATGAGGCCTGGCAGGCTGCTGAGGGAAGGCTTCATTGAATCTGGCACGAACATGGGAACCAGCTGTTGCTTGATGGTAGATCATTTTAAAGTTGTTTGAAAATCTAAGGGATAATTCTAAGTTTTTGTACCTCAGATTATGAGGATTTTCCAACCATTTTATCCAAGGAAGTAGCACATCTTTCTGATATAGAATTACCAGCTTCCTTGAAGCTTTTCTTTATAATGCATTTTGTCAGTGAACTAAAAAAATGTGTATTCTGCAATTGGTAATTGTAATAATGATTCAGTACATGAAAGATGATGAAGGAAGATCTTCACTGATTGATCATTAGGTATTTCATAGCGAGTTGGTAGAAACACCTTCCCTCACAACTCCTATGTAAGTTGCAAGGCCCATTATGTACAGGAAATGATACCCCTAGCTGTAGGGACAGAATTTCTTGCCCCTGCTGGGCAGCTGGCAATCCCGAGATTTTCCAGAGCTCTCCAGTACAAGGCACTCCTTTAAAAGGTCATGTCCTACTGTTCTCACTGCTGTGCAGTCTGGCACCCCGGGGTTGCTTCACAACCCGAGCTCTGCTACAAGAATCTCAGTAGTGGTACTTGCATATTAAATGCACATGGGTGCAAAGGTATTGGATTCTGGAGCCGGACTGCTAAGAGGTAATCTCTGTTTCCATTACATACATGGTGTGTCTTTGGAGAAGTAACCGAACTAATTGTTCTGTGTGTGAAATTCACAGTAGTTCGGGGTCTTACATTGGGAAATCCACTGATAACTTTTTTAAAACACTAAGAAATGTTTTGTGACATACAAGGAGGACTCTATAAGTAATAGTCATGTTGTCATTATGGGCTCATTCTCCTTATTATAGTAGACTATACTTTCTAATATCTTAATAGGGTATCAGGTAAATGGAATAAAAATACCAAATGTCTCAAAATGTAAATATGGAGTGTTCAAAACATCACCTCCTGTGTGGAATGGGAAAGTGTGGATTCTGATGATGCCTTGACAGGAAGCCTACTAACCTTTCAGAAAGAAGAGATGGTTAATTGTCAGCTGACATTTTTACTGCCCTGAACTTTTTTCCCCCTTAAGTTATGAATAAATAGACGACTGGAATGCCACTGGATTTCCTTTCCTACCTGTTTAAAATTTCAACGTATAATTACTTAAACTTTCCTGGCTTATAAATGATTTCCTAAGACAACTACATCTTAAAAGAAAGCAAAGATTTTTGGTTCCTGTCTGAAACCATTTTACATGCTACCAGTGAGCTCCTACAGAATATCCCGATGGTGCTTTGCAGCAGGAAGACAGACCTTCGGGTGTCAGGAATGACAGAACACTGCTCGGACTAAGAAACCTTGTGGGTAATTTCATTTTCATTTGCTAGTGAAGCAGAAAAATCAACATGTTGTGTGTCAAGTACAATGAAAACTACTTCTTGGCAGTTTGGATTGTAGCCACTGTCAGGGTGAAACTTCACAGGGATAAGTCTGATTTGGAGGAAGCAGGGAGTCTGCATTTTGATGGGAGGAGAAAGAAAGGGGGCTTTGGCTTGAACCAGATGCCTTAGGGAACTAGAGCTCTTGTGAAATCTGATGCTCTGATCGCTGATCCTAACGCCTGAAACAAAGTAAGTCTTAAAGGCTTCCCTGTGCTCATTTCTACCTTACTTGGATTCAAAAGATGGAAAAGGGAAACCGATAAAGAAAGAAGGATACTTACACTAAGGCAGACAGGGATTTTTGAATTAAAAATAGTAGTAACAGGACAATTTTAAAATTTAATAGATGGTGATTTGCATTTATAGGGACTAAATGAGAGGATAATTAGCACATGTTAAAACACTTTTTAAATAGTAAAGACAAACAATGGATTATTTGTTTGGATTTATTTTTGTTTGCATTCTTGCAGACTGGGGTTGTTCAGTGCAAATTAGTGGGTAGTAATTGTACATCCAGAAATTCACAGTAGAACTATTATAAAGTTACATAAAATTATTTTCATCATCACTGAAAATTCCACTCTATAACATCATGGTGGGGGTCTGCAGAACTAGGGATTTCCAGAGGCAAATCGTCCTGCTTCTCAGGTTCTTGCTCTTACCCTGGCCAGGCATGCAAGGGTAGACGAGGAGGCTGACTAAGCTGAAGATCCCCCAGCTCAGCCAGTGCAGAATGAGGAACTCAGAAGACAGAAGTGCTGTGAAGCAGAAGTTACTTATAACATTGCCAAGGAGGGGACAGAGGTGTCTAGCAACAAGTTTGCTGGCAGGGAGAGCTCAAAAGTGAGCGCCTCAGGATGGTGTCCTTGCTCTGCAAGGATGGGACCTGGGGTTTTAAGCCGTGGGTCTTAGTCTTTTGTGGCTGGGTCAGCTTGTTCCTAG